CACTCCGTCACCTCTCCCCTGTTGGCGACACTCCGTCACCTCTCCCCTGTTGTTGACACTCCGTCACCTCTCCCCTGTTGGCGACACTCCGTCACATCTCCCCTGTTGGTAATACTCCGTCACCTCTCCCCTGTTGGGGACACTCCGTCACCTCTCCCCTGTTGGGGACACTCCGTCACCTCTCCCCTGTTGGGGACACTCCGTCACCTCTCCCCTGTTGGTGACACTCCGTCACATGTCCCCTGTTGGCAACACTCTGTCACATCTCCCCTGTTGGTAATACTCCGTCACATCTCCCCTGTTGGCGACACTCCGTCACATCTCCCCTGTTGGCGACACTCCGTCACATGTCCTCTGTTGGTAACACTCCGTCACATCTCCTCTGTTGGTAACACTCCGTCACATCTCCTCTGTTGGTAACACTCCATCACATGTCCCCTGTTGGTAATACTCCGTCACATCTCCCCTGTTGGCGACACTCCGTCACATCTCCCCTGTTGGTGACACTCCGTCACATGTCCTCTGTTGGTGACACTCCGTCACATCTCCTCTGTTGGTAACACTCCGTCACCTCTCCCCTGTTGGTGACACTCCGTCATATGTCCTCTGTTGGTGACACTCCGTCACCTCTCCCCTGTTGTGACACTCCGTCACATGTCCTCTGTTGGTAACACTCCGTCAGCACCATGCGGGAGGGCATTGTATACATCCCCGTGTCGTAAGAAAAAATCTCATCACCACTCATGCTGTCACCATCACCATCTTATCCATAACAACAAAAATTTGTTCTGGGAGTCCCGGGTGCCAGACCCTGGGTCAATTTCCATTATTCTGAATCAGTCGAATCATCTTAGAGAGACTGTCATCATCCCTGTTTTGCAGACAAGACCAATGAGCCTTGAAGATTAAATGATTTGCCTCAGTCCATGTGGCCATTCCATGTCCGGGCTATGCATTTGGACCTGTTGTTCCCTTCTCAGTGACAGCCCTGTACAGAGCAGTTAGGATGGAGGTGACTCAGCCGTAGGCCCCTTCTCCCCTGTCACCGCCAGAGACGGTGTTCAAACACGGCTCGTGGCTGTGTGCAGTGGTCTCACTATTTGGTGACCAGTTACCCTACTAACTTCTATTAGGAGAGTAAACTGTAAGGTAATTCCAGATGAAATATCGTAAGCCACGCCACTTGACACAGTTAAAACTTCTTGGCTTAGAAATCCTTTCCCGACTGAAAGCCAGTTCTTCATGGCGGTCTATGGGATAGATCCTATTGATCCAAATGTTCTTTCCTTGTGGAGTGTCGATGCTTGAAACACTATTGATTTAGACATGTTACCTACTGCCAATTTTGTTTTGTATCTGTGGCCTAGATCTGAAGTTTCCCCCCTCCCTGAGATACCTGAGTAGATGGCGTAAAATCTTCTGATGCTATTAGAAACCACTGGAGAAGAGGCCAGTGAACTTGATGTGCTCACTCCCATTAGCCCCATGTGTTCATGTTCTGTGCTGGACACTCATGTTCAGACACCCTCGGGGAGTGCACCTGTGCTGGTGTCATGGGTCTGAGAAGGGCCCAGT